CTGTCCCTGCTGATGGAAATACCCTTCTCCTTCTGTCTTTCCATCTTGCATCCTTTCTTTGCTTACCAGAGTATCTTTGCTCAGGATGAACAGCTAAGTTGGCTGTGTTAATGAGGCCAAAGAAAAGGTCTGAGCCTTCCTCTGAGTCACTGAGTCTTACAGGGTGAAAAAAATTCCCCAGTTATCAAAGATAATCCATTTATCCTAGAGGCAATGTGTATCGCTCAACCCAAAAGAGACTACACATAATGAGTCAAATTCACTCCTAACCTACCCCATAAAAACAAGCCCTCAATACTCAGTGTTTGTATCCTACAATGGGTAATGTGCATTGATAAAAGCATCTATTTAATAGACAACCAACCTACTATAAAGGCACTGAGTCAGTTAATCATATTGACTCAACATTTGGTTCATTTTCCTCAGTCCTTATGCAGAATCACAACTGTAAACTTCAGTGTCAAATTTTTCAACCCGTCAATTATCCTCACACCTGACAAACTGGGGGTATTTGTGACCTAACAACTTTAGAATATTGCTCCATCTAGTTTTTAATGCAAGTTCCTTTTCCTTTTATGATAAAATATGGGGGCACCAAGTCCTAAGTTTTTTATACCCCCAAACTTGAAACATTTTCCCTTAAAACTATGAATAAACACTAACTTCCTATCTGTAACAATAAGGGTCAGAGAGTCCATTTTTCAATCTTTCATTCCGTTTCTCTGGCTCCATTTTCTAAAGCCATACCAGTTGTGTTTTGCATATTAAAACAGTTATTAATACTTTTCTTAACTCCATCTAAATAACAGTATAATGTGATTCATTAAGATTACTACCTGAGTTCAAATCATAGGCCTCTCACTACCAATGGGGTGGCCTAGAATATTTTTCTTCTGTAAGCCTCAGTTTCCCCACACGTAAAATGTGTATAAATAAAATGACATGTGTAAAAGCTTGCAGTCAAATGCTCAAAACAAAATTCATTCTCTATTCATTCATCTTTTGACAAATGTTCACTGCCTGCTGAATATATGCCTAGCACTATTAATTAATGTTTTCGGGCTTCCCTGGTGGCTCAGTGGTTGAAAATCCGCCTGCCGATGCAGGGGACGCGGGTTCGTGTCCCGGTCCGGGAAGATCCCACATGCAGCGGAGTGGCTGGGCCCGTGAGCCATGGCTGCTGAGCCTGCATGTCCGGAGCCTGTGCTCCGCAATGGGAGAGGCCTCAACAGTGAGAGGCCCGCATACCACAAAAAAAAAAAAAAAAATTAATGTTTTCCCCCCCAACTTATCGTAAAGTTTTTAGATAAATAAAATCTTAAAAAAGTATTGCCCTCAAAAGTATTCCACTTAATATGTGGGAAAAATCTACTTAAAGCTACCAAATTTTTCTATATTTGAAGTTATAGAAACCACAGTTAAAGAACATATCAAATTTATAAAGCAGTTTTAAAATATTTTTTACTAGTAACAACATTTCTTCACTCACTTGATACAATTACTGCTTTGGATTGACTTTGTGGTTCTATGATGTAACCTATTTATGTGTCAAAGACGCTTTATGCAAAACTCAAGAACAAATAAAAAGGAAAAGATAAGTGACTGACAAAAGTAACTGCAGTATGCTGACACACTATGCCAAAATCACCTTCCTGTCAGAGGAATACAAGGTGATTTGTATTCCAGAGGAATATAAATTTGTCAGAGGAAGCTGATGGATTATGAGAAATGTGAAAGCTTCTTGTTCTTAAAGTGTGGGGGAGAGGGAGGTAAGGGTTAAAAATTGAATTGCAAAATCTCTGTCAAATGTGAGATACTACGATCTGAAGCATGTCTACGGCACTAAACTCTCACCCAGACTTTTACTTCTAGGACTTCTTTTGTAAAACACAACTATTATGGCTTTGCCCATTAAGTCCATGTAATAAAAATAAATGATTATATCGAGAAAAAGGAAACTGCTGCCTATCGTATGAATGTCAGTTCCATTGTAAGCCTGGATGATAAAAGGCCTGAATATGTGACTCAGAGCTTCTCTATGACTCAGTTTGCTATGGGAAAATCACCTTCCTAAATGAAAATCCTCTATTCATAAAGAAAGTCACATGACATGTAAAAGTGATTTAGAATGCAAGAAAAGGAAATATGCTCTAATTTCCAGTGTGACAATGTACAGACTTTAATAGAATGTGCCAAAATCAACACTTCTGTTCTCAAACTAATGGTCTGTGTAATTCTACCTATAGCAAAGAACTGTTTTGTTTTTTTAAAAAAAAAAAACAATAAATGGTTATAAGGGGTTAAGGGATGAAGAAATCAGGGTATTATTGTTTTATGGGTAGTTTCAGTTTGGGGTGATGAAAAAGTTCTGGAAATGGATAGTAGTGATGGTTATACAACAATGTGGATATACTTAATGCCACTGAACTGTACACTCAGAAATGGTTAAAATGGTAAATTTTATGTCATGTATTTTACCACACACGAAAAATTCAATGCTATTAGCCTTAAAAATGAAAACAGAAAAGAATAATGTGTTACTTGTTATAAATTCTTGCTCATCTAGGCTGATAATAAAAACCCCCCAAAGCAACTAAGTTAAAATAAGCACCCAATTAGATTAAGCAAACCATTAACACAACAAAAATATTCTGTCATTGTTGAAAAGACACTAGCCATGCCAGGAGGATATACTTATTAAATTTTATGCACACATACATTTATGGCCAAGATAATGATAAATTTGTACAACCACAACTTCATTAGCTAAATATCAATAGGAAAAGAAATCATGGTGGGGTCAATACATAATGCAGAACTGAAACCCTTGTTACTACAGAATTATCAGACTTGCATGTGATCTCCAGGTGTAGAAACAAAACACCTGTGAGAATGGAATCTGTATTTTGAATCTCCCCCACACTCTCCCTGGTAACCCAAACTGGGCCGATTTCCATTTGCTTACCACCAGTCCTAGTACGAGGGTGCGGACTCTCTCTCCTATTTCCGGTGAAATGTCATTGCCAAACTGCTGCAAGGTAGTGAGGAACCGTTTCAGCTTACTGAGCTGCCTGGCACCACAGGCTGGGGGCAGCTGTTGATTAGCCAGAGAAGAAGAGGAAGAAGAGGAAGGCCCATTGCTAAAGCCATTGGGCGGTGAGGGGGCGCCATTCAAGGCTGTGGGTGAATGGCTCGTGCCATTAGTTACTGTCAGAGGGCACAAAATCAGAAAGAAAAAATAAACTTACAGAGAACATGCACAAGGTAATTACAACTAAGTATCCTTCCCTTCCAATCTAGTGAATTTGGTCATTTAAAAGCTGTTGGGCCTTTTTGGTAAAATGCTTTGACTTCACAGGATTATCAGAGGCTCAGGTACTCCATAACTAAGTGGGTGGACTCCTCACACCACATGAGGATACCCTGCACAGAAGCTGATAAGAAGTGGGAGCCGGCTGGAGCACAGGGACAGCCCTGCCTCCCATGCACACATATGCAAACACAGAACAAACAGCATTTTGGATGTCAGCCTTTTGTCCCAGGCTTACATCAATATAACAGAACTATTCCTTTCTAAACTGCTCCCCTAGAGAAAATGGACATTTGGTGGAGACTAAATTTATCACTGGACATTTTTAATAATGTTTTGTACACACAACTGACAGCTGTGTTTATAGAAATACGACTTTCAAGTTTTAACCTTATACCACCCAATTAGAAGGCTATTTTCTCCGCCTCATATTTCTTAACAACTTCTTTAAGGAAAACACCAATTTTATGTAAGAAGCCAAAATGCATATGGTAATTATCAAAGAGTTATTTCTAGAAATCGAAAGGGGACATCTCAGTCCAACTAACAGCATGGATTGGTGGTAACTACATAAATTCATTTGATAAAATTTATTTGAACGTCAAGGTGATAATCCATAAGAACTAGGCTAGAAAATTTTGCACATTTCTCACCAAAGAAAATGTTGACTTTACCATGTTAGATCTTTAACAAACCCATCTTTTAAATATAATTTTGATAAACTACCTCCAACAATAGTCTGAAGATGTTTTAAGCACCTTATTATTCTTAAAAGGTTCAAGAAAATAAAATGGTCTCATCCCAAATGGGTACCAAAGCAACCTGTCAAGAAATGACATCTCACTAGGACCTCTCAGACAGAGGAGGCATATGCCTATCATTGTGGCTTTGGGTAACAACAAACCAAATACAAGATGACAGGGTTACAACTTGGCACTGTTGCAGGTCCCTGCTCCTTACATGTTTGTAAAGGTCTTATAAAAGGCAGCGCAACCCTGCATAAATAGCCTGGATGTGTGTTTTGCCGAACCCTTATAATCCCAAGGATCTATTTTTGCCTATTAGTTATTTTTCATTCATATACAGATTTCAGGCACACAGTCTGTAAATAGTATTATCTGCAACCAACAGCATTTATTAGTTTCACAAATCTTTGATGATATTTTAACCAGGACTTTCAGATGGATGAAAACAAAGTTATCTGCTATTCCTATTAAAATATACAGGAAAAAAGGGAAGTTGCTATTCTATCAGAATATTCTGTCCTTTCCTTGGATGACACAAAAAGCAATACACTCCACTGATTCAGAACACAAGTCTAGAGCCAAGTTGAAATGGAATAAATATTTAATAAATGTCTGACAAGTTCAAGACAAGAAAGATGCTCCTTATCTCAGAAAGTTTTCTGTATGCAACTGTTGCATAGAATGATCCCTCTTTTAACTTAAGAATGTTAGATTTTAACATTATTTGTAAATAACAGAAGAAAGTGGATTAGAAGATCAGAAGTAACCTGGAAATAATATAGCATATTAACATGTTCCAAGTCAAAATGAACAAACTAAAATAAGGAGCTCCTCATTAAGTCAAAGGAGAAGTTAACATGGTAATGATGAGTTACAGACCAAAGGCAGTGTTCTTCATTCACTGAAATCACAGAAGACTACAACTTTGAGACAATAATGAAAAGGCAGGCAAATACTGGCAGTCATACAAATTATACCCAAGATATGATAATTCTGTGCTCAATACCTACTCACTGGCAAACAAATTATTTGTGTGGGGGGGGTGGGGCTTCATTTCTGCATAATACATTGATGCTGGATCTTACTGTCCCTTAATTTTTATTTGCAGAAAAAAATTTAATTTGAACTTGAAAACGGAAACAGCAAATGCAGAAACGACTACTTACACGTTGTTGGTGTAAATGAACTGGTTCTGGGAGCTCCTTGAGTTGTTGGGGGAGGTGGCATTGTGGGAGGAGTCAGCCTAGACGGGGTCTTCACATCCACAGGTGAGTCTGGCATCGTGGAGTGCTTCTCAGTCCGATCTGGAGGATGCCACCATGATCATGTTATTTACTCCTTAAGCACCTTAGGGTTTTTCTGGTACCTCAGTTTTATAAGAGAGGTTCATCTTTTTTACAAGCAAGGTAAGAAATCCAACATCTTCTATCAATAAAACAGGCTTATCTACTGAAGCTTAAATCAAGACTTTATCATCCAAACCCCACTTAAGAAGGTGTAGCACAGATGGCAGGACCTCATTTCTAACTGGGTAATTTTACATCCTATTGTTATTTCTGGCTTAGACAGATGCTACCTTGGTAGTGTTATATGCAACAGCACAACTTCGCTTGAAGCTGAAGCCAACATTAGCAAGAGGTAAAAAATAGAAGAGGAAGTGGGACGGTAATGAACCCTTCAGACAGCTCAGAAATAACACAAATCTTAGGCTCTGTTACGCAGGTGGGATACTGTTAGAAGTTGGTGTTTTGCAATGACTTTTTTGTAACACCTACCATCCCCTTTCCATGCTTAGTTTTCTAGCCTAACAGATGAAGCAGGCTATGTCTCCCAGACATAACCTCTCACTTCAATTTTTTTTCTGACCTGTTTGAAAAATCACCACTACATAAATGTCACAAAACGAAGTGAAGTTATTACTGACTTAGGACTTGTGAGTTTACGATCCACCATTTAAAAAGTATGAAACCTGAGAAGTCCGTGCACCACAGCAAAGAGTAGCCCCCACTCGCTGCAATTAGAGAAAAGCCCGTGTGCAGCAACGAAGACCCAATGCAGCCATAAATAAGTAAATAAATTTTAAAAATAAAAAAAATAAAACATAACAAACCAATACTTCAATTAATAATCTCAGGCAGAGTAAGAATGGAAAAGTCCCAAACTGAGAACTAAAGACCTTTCTAATATTTTTTCATGAGTAGGCGACAGGGAGAAATTTCCTAATTTCCCAATAATGAACATTTGCACTTCAGGACTGTTTTATACTGAGTATACTTTTCCCTTGGAATTTTAAACTTTTTTCTCAATCTGATCTACTCAAAGAAACAGATCTCCAGTTTAAAAAAAAGTTTTCATTTGTTTGTTTAGATCCAATTTTCTACAAACACGTGTACACATGCACACACACACCCCAAAAAATATTTGAGGTGCCTCTTGCGGCCTTAGGCACAGGTATCTCCCATTTGGAGTTTTTGAAAAGTAACGTAACATAGACTATTAATAAAGAATGGGTCTCTTAAAACATTATGATCACCATAGTGAAAAACTCTCAAAATTACTTGTCAATTATTAAAATGAAAAGCCCAAATTACTACTATGACAATTCCAAACCTACCTCCCCTTTATTCAAAGCAATTTCATAAGACTTGTGCTGCAATAGAACACAACTTTTGAAAGTTGAAATAGCGTTGACACCATATTAGGGAAGAATGAAAATAATAATCATTCTAATAAGAGCACTGTGAATGATGATCCAGTGAACAGTATCAGGGTCTCTATTTCTTAGTCTCTACTGCTGGCTGAATAACAATGACTGTCCCTATAGTGACTTAGTGTTCTGAGTGAGATGATTGTGAAGACGCATGGAGAATGTCTCTACCTTTATCGTATTGTTAAAATTTTGACCTCATATTGCTATTCCAAAACACTTAACGAGTACCCGTGAATAACCTGTTGTAGAGAAATGCAGAAGTTAGGTAGGTTTAAAACCACTTCTTTGATAGTAAAATTCATTGCACCATTTACTCACCTCAACCAACCTCAGCAACAAGGGAATAAATAGCTTTCCACTTGTGTTGCAGCTGAGGGAAGAGGTACAGCAGCAAATACAAGTCTCCCTAAATAAAGGCAAATATTTCCCTCATGCCAAGGAAGGAGGGATAAAGGGAGGCTTGCCAGAGTCAGCTGGGAGATAACAGTGGGAACTGCTGGTCCATCTGGTTTTCATTCTGCTAACACTCACATGGAGCTGTTAGCGAAGGCAGTCCAGACCCACAGATTTGAAGCACGTGGTTGCACAGAGAGAAAGGAAGAGCAGGAGGGGGAAGGGGAAGTGGGAATAACAGGGAAAGAAAGAAATAAGTATATCGAGCAATAGAAGGAAAGGGTGAGAAAGAGGGAACAGACCAAAAAGCAGGGAGAAAGGAGCCCGGAAAGGGAGAAAGTTACCCTGGACAGTTTCACCACCGCTAAAAGCTGAACCTTGGTGGGCACAGGCCCTACCTTACTTGATGCAATTCTTGAGCAATACCTAAACTTGGAAATGTATCTTAAACATGCTTTTCATTACTCTTTTTCCAATAGCCCACACTAAGGAAAAAGGGAATAGTAAACCATAAAGTTGACAGTGGGTTTCCTCTTCAGACTCTTTTAAGATAAAGTTTGTATTTCTGTCTTCCTCTGCCCAATTTTAGAAATATTTTTGATATATTCATAATTTTAGTTTGAATACCTGTCTTGGCCCACTTGTGTAACATGGTTCCTATCCAGAATTTAATAATAATAATACCAACAACAATTATTATAAAACGTAGATGAGCAACTTTTTTAAATTCCTGAGATGATGTCAATATTTTAGGAGCAATAACCACTGAGCCAATGAATAGCAAAACACCACTACTTCTAACAGGAGTATACACATTCTCTCTGGAATACATGTATACGTGTATGTATTTAAGATTTTGACATTAGCCACATTTCTGTGATGGCTAGCTTCACTCTGATGAAATGGAGTTCCAACCCAGAGGTCCTACAAACTTAGACAAAGTGGGACCATATGTAACTCATTCTGTGCTGTTCAGTGCAATCAATCCAGGATTGAAATAGATGATGAAATAACCAGCCAAGGCTAAGCCCATACACACACAAAAACGCTCTGGAGTAGAGAGATTTAAGATAAATTCAGAAAATGTGTTTCAAGTATGCTGCGTTCTGTTGCATTTGTTTTGGATTAATAAAAATAAAAAAAAAATTTTGAAATATATATTCTTGAAACTTCTATAGCAAACAGCAGAAGAGCTATGATTCAACCATAGAAGCATTTCACTCCATTTCAAATTAGAGGATATAGTAAAACCAATATTAAGTTATAATATTTCTCATGTAATTTTTTAAGTTCATGAAAATTATATCATTCTTACATGTAATCTCTGTTTTTAGTTGGTGTAGGGGAAAGCTGACATTTACTGAAAGACTGACACAAAATGAAAAAAAAAAGGAAAGAAAAAAAATTATCAGATCAGGGAATTATTTGTTTTAAAAGAACTGACTTTACTTCTACTTTAATGATGCACACCACTTCTAAACAAGATCTTCCCTATGTGGTAAGTTTTCAACTCCCATGGCAAATATCCAACACATATGTACCAAAGACAGCTGATGCATGGAAGAAAATGTGGCATATATAAATACATTACCGATACCATTTCAATATCCAATTCAATGTCAGGGCCTTCTAGAAGTGGTATGTTTTCCATTTCCCTTTTTGTTGTTGTTGTTTTATGTGAAAAGGTATGGCATAATCTGCCATGGCACTTATTTTACTTTTAGTTAGTTCAAATAGTTCCAGATGTGTTTTTAAGGTATGAAGAATAGGCATTCTATATTTCCCTTGTTTACATACCATTCTAGAGATGATTGGTGTAAAAAGATTTCAGTATTGGTATAATGAATGGCACGACATTTTCTATCAGAGTTCATCATGTCAATTATAATAGAAGAAATATCTTGGTTTCATAGGTGTTATGGGTTGAGGAACTTTTTGGTCAATTAGTAGTTAGTTAGTCCAGAGTTAGTCTTATTTGAATAAATGTTAGTTACAAAAGCTAGAAGGTATGCACCAAAGAGGATTAAGCCCAAGTGGAGCCACGGTACTATTAACGGAAAGGCAGAAGGAACAAAACTGGTACAGAATTTGATTTTTATTTCTCTGGAAAATTTGGCAAATACAGGTTCTGACCACTGAGTCATTTAGTGACTCCAGTGATTGGGTGTGAGATATTACAGGCAACTGTCTGCAGACTGGAAAGGTAGCCATCCAGCCTTCACACCACCGCCACCTCATCTCCCTGAAAAACACCTCTGGTAACATTCATTCCTGC